TTATATGAGGGTTCGTGTAGTAAAATTTAATAGAAACAGCCCCACGTGAATTTATGTGGACGAAAATTTGGGTCGATCGGGAAACCGGTACTAATTATGTACCAACCAGCGAATATTTGGAAGCAACAAAAATATTTACGATGGGATTCCATTTCAACGGACGATTTTTAAAAACAGAATCAATTTAGGAAACAATATTTGAACATTCTTTTTTTTAATCTTGTTAGGCTTATGGCTATTATTCGTAGAGGCCATTACAAAATTTCTAGTGTTACCAATTTGAATAGAGTATAGAATTCGCACAGATAAAATAAAGCTTCTGATGCAGCTTCGTATAAAATACGGGACGTGGACTACATTGGGGCGGGAAATCGTATGTAAATGCATGGAGATCATGCGCATGTAATTTTCCGCTCTATTTCGTGGGTCATTCAAGGTCGAGCTGCGAAAGAATGGAGCAGGACTATTTCCTGATTTAAATTAAACTTAGTCGTATTACCAACTTTAGGTTTATACTTAATTTTGTAGGAAAATAGCCCAGTTTTAAAAGAATTGAGTACAAAAAGACGATTTACACAACTATAGTTTCGTAGTTGTTTAGATAAGTACTTAGCATCTCAAATTAATTTAGCATCAATTTATATCTGCAAAAGGTTCATTTTAGTATGATCTCGTTATAATTGTCACAGTCGACCGTCATCTAGCGGGACCCAGTGACTCGACGGATACAATTTGCAAAAGTGACAATTCATCTTTGTAAGTGCTTGAGGCTCTGATACTACGCGCGGATGAAATATGCAAAAACTACCACTTATTCATATTGGAGATTGCTTACTGCTGCTCGCTTTTTTATTGTTCCCCTTTGCCGAGGTTGTGTTTTAAGGAAAATAATGTTGTTTTTCCTTTTTTTATGAGCGACTCTTTTATGGAGGAGCGATAAGTTGATTGTGTTTGAGGCGTGCTGCCTTCTTTATTTGTTTACTTCGGCGATGTCAAGTGCTCTGCATAATTTATTGGTGTCTGGTCAGATACTTTCACTACATTATTAGAAATTACAATGAAAAAAAAACAAGAAAGATCCATCAAAAACAACAACAGTACTGGCATAAAATAACACAAAACAAACAAAATAAGATAAAAAAAACAGTGGGGCCTTCAGATTCTTAATTCGAATTCACCCTTGATCCGACATTCTCCAAAAAGGATCAAATTCGCCTCCGGGGCGACGTTAGAAAAAAACGAAGTGACGGCACGGGTTCCCTTGAACTCATAACCTTCCACTCTTTGTAATTAAAAGAGTAACAATTCTAAAATATTGTTCCCGGTGAGGCTTCCTCTTTTAAAGTACGTATATTTTAAATACAGCAGAAGTTATAGAATGTCGAAAAGTTTGTTCAAAGCACAAAGGGATAATGAAGTTGTTTACCACATGTTAATTAAATACTCTCCAAGGGATTGGCTAATGGAATTCCCGAATATTTACCTACAAGGGTTCGAGGTGATGAAACACGTTGTTATGAAACTTGTCGCGTATTTTAGCTCATTGTAAATACACTTCATACCCAAATACTTGTACATTAGGTTAATACACAATTTTACTGGTCTTTTACTAGTATAAGTACTGTGGCGACGCATGCCACATGTCAACGGATGACGTCACAAGAATCCTACATCGCACATGCAAAGTTTACAAGCGAATAAACACGGATAGAAAATCCCAACGAACAACTGTTGGGCAGAAAGCCCGCCAGGCACGATCACCTCGCCTGGTCGGAGGATCCTCCTTTTCCGATCTTAGGGAACTATACTCTCTGTTCCCTACAGTGGTGACCCCGACGTGATTGGAAAACAACCTTCACTTCACGGAGCAGATCAGCACCGTCATCCGTATCGCCATCCCTCTCATTCATCACTTCTCCGCTGAGCGGTAATCAAGTCGCAGCCAACCAGCATCCTCGGCCTCATCAGGGACCACCATTACCTGCAACGAAGTTGTGCAGCCTGGTTCTTCCCTACGGCCTTACCAGCGTCTAGGCACAGCACTTCTGCACACGGTCTGAAGGACACCTCCTCCCGTCAATGCAGATGCCGGCCACTACGCACCTACCCTCGCAGCATCTCTTCCCCGACTCACCGTGGGACACTGCGAACGCATCTCTCCGACTCACTGGAGTTTCACCCTGCACCGCTGACCCGACTCACTGGGCACTCAGCGGCACAGTTCCGACCCACTGGAACTAGGGACGTTCTACACTGGCTCTGGCACCACTCATCTCAAGCATCGACAGCAGTCTCAGCGGAATCGACCTCCGGTCTTGGGAGGGAGTGATGTGGCGACGCATGCCACATGTCAACGGATGACGTCACAAGAATCCTACATCGCACATGCAAAGTTTACAAGCGAATAAACACGGATAGAAAATCCCAACGAACAACTGTTGGGCAGAAAGCCCGCCAGGCACGATCACCTCGCCTGGTCGGAGGATCCTCCTTTTCCGATCTTAGGGAACTATACTCACTGTTCCCTAAAGTACTTCAAATTACGAAAAAAATATAATAAACCAACTACTGGGAGTCCTCGCTAAAGCTTCTAAATGTCTAAATGAAAAAAAATCCACGGTACTCCGAATAACCGAACAAAACAAACCCCGACGGTCAAGAAGTCTCTTCAATACAGTCTAAAATATTGATTTAAAAACGTCCCACTAACTTATTCAACACTGGAATAGACATTAGTTATTCAATTACCAAGTAATTTAAGCCCAAGTAGTAAACGTAGCCTTCGAAACTAAACGATAATTAAATAATAACTACGTAATTGAAATGCACAACGGTAACATCTTAACAATTTACGAGCTCAATAATAGACGAGAAATTTTCATCGTTCGCCTTAAGAAGGTCTAATTCAATTAGGAGCCTTCAGGCTTCGTTTGCATGACTTTGCATTTTTAAGTAAAATCGAGACTTTTCCAGTGAATTTTGACAAGTTGATGTCCTGCAGTGGGCCCTCGGGTAATGGGGATGGAACGAACTAGACAATTTGAATTCGACCGTTAGAATTACGTTAGCTTTGATCTTGAACAAAAATAAGAATGAATGAACGCGTTTAAATATTCAAATGTATGAGTTCTTTTTTTAAATGTGTATCTACTCGTCGAGGATGAGTCAATGTTATTAAAAAGTAAAATGTACATTTTTGAGTTTAGCTGGGTAAGTAATACTTATTTGCACGAAAAAAAGATTTACCAAATTGAATCGCACTAAATTGAAAAATATAGATAAGTTATTCTTCGCATGATTATGGCTAACAGCAAATTTTTCAATCTAATCTAATTCAGTCAGTCTTTGTTAGAGATAAAATTAGGTAAGACGTTTTTATTTGTTCAATGACAGACTTCTTAATGAGCTGAAAATTATAGCCAAAAAATATATTGAACATTTTCTTTTGAGTAGAAGTAGTAGCCTATTATAAAAATAATGTTTTATTTTATCGTAAAACTTTTAAATGTATTCTATGCTGTGAATAAAACATTGCAATAAAATAAAAACATATCCAATATCCGATTTAAATTCAAACTTGGAATTAGTCTTCCATTTTCTAATTCGAAATAACTGGCAACTGGAATGGGATTTCGTAATATTAATTAAGAGCATATCTTCGGATCAGATTTACGGTGTAATATTGAAACAAATAAATTATTTCTCTTAGCGGAGAATATTCGTAGAATCTCGGCGGGTGTTGGTTTTGTAAATGAACTAGAGTTTTGTTCCAGCTAGACTTATTCTATTTGGCTGTGTATCGTCTGAATTATTGCTGCCACTAAATTGTGTTTGCGCACTGAAATCGTACAATTAAGTTTGTTTGATGACAACACGATATTTTGTAGCTGTACACGTTTCTAGATGTGGTATTTAATTTTAATAATATCATTCTTGTCAACTTTCAGGTTTAAATAAGAAGGCAGAAGACAAAAGAAAAGTAAGTCATAGGTGGGAAAACTTATACAAATAAAATTATAGAAATGTTAGTTCGAAAGTGATTTAAAATTTACCATACGATATTGAAATGAAGACTTTGCCTGCATGCCAGAACGTAACATTCTTTTCACACAAGCCTTAAAACTCAATTTTCTTTATTCCGCGTCCCTACAGCTGGAAATCCGTACATTTACATAAAATAGTGATGTACAACGCTTGCAAGATTTAAATGAGTCGATAACAAATGACAGAGTGATGTCCAAACGCGCTGCTTCCAGTCAGTTTCGAATGCAAAATTCGATATTTGAAATTCAAAATAACCGACGAAGCATTCCGGGTTCCGAGTCTGGAATACCGCTCATGATTCTTCGCGTAAAATAAAATATCTGGAACGTTGTAGCGAAGTCTGAATGCCAATTTTGTTGACTGTAATTCAAATTTTTTATGCGAAACCGAATGCAAGAACATGTATTTTACACATCTGAGTGCACACTTGCACAGCAGTTGACTATCTGAATATGAAGAGAAAAGTTTTCTATGGTATTTTGTTTGAGTTTAGTTACATCATACATGTTTATTCACTAAGGAAAGTAGTTTGTGTTTTACATTAGCTACATGGATTGTAGCTAACTTTTATACTTAGATAAAGTAGGTAAATATCTATGTTTACTGTGTCTAATTCTTTTTTATGGCATAAGCGGGTAAACGAGCAGTCAGTTCACCTAATGGTAAGCAATCGGCGTCGCCCGTGGACACCTGGAACACCAGAGGCGTTACAAGTGCGTTACCGGCCTTTTGGGGATTAGAAGTTTGAGGATCGTTGAGGATTCAGGGTTTGGGGAGATTGGGGAAGGGGAGGGGGGTAATTGGGCCTTGAGTAACCTCACTCACACGACGAAACACAATGCAAGCGTTGCTCCACGTCGGTTTTCTGTGAGGCCGTGGTATCACTTCCTTCGAGCCGAAGCATGGCTCTCCCACGCTAAGTCTGTTGAGTGACACATGGAACTAAGCTCACTTACCGATATCATTGGCGTTTAAGAAGTCGGCAAGCAGCTCTGGTTCGTGGCATGCTATAGCTAGGCGGTTGTCGTGAAATCGGCCAGAGTCGCCTGGGCCCGCCTCGCGCAACTGTAGCGCCACTGAGCCTTCGCCGCCGACTGACGCGCTGTACATCACTACTGCGCGCGGCGTGAACGTCGGCAGCGGCAGCCGAGTGGTCTGCACCTGGAGAAAAGGAAAAAGAATTCATTAGTATAATATAACACTCGTATAAAAATGCCAAGGAATGGCGATTGAGATCTGTGATAGGCAAAAAATTTACATGTGTATGTCATTACTTTAAGATTCTGTAGGACACATTTCTTGCATATACCATCACATTTCCATTCCAATTGAGACTAGACACCAGAATGAAACGGACAGTAAAATAATTTTCTTTGTTTACGAAACAAATTCAGTTACATAAAATGCTTTCACACCGCCATATTTCATATCGAATCGTTGAACATTGGTATTATTTGATACCTTTCACCTCAAAGCTACGGAATAAAACCCACGACGACGTATAAAACCTGGAAACTTGGAAGAATATTCTCGAAAAATCCATCTCACATTGCACAAACTTAGATACTCTCTCAATCGAGTTTACCTTTTAAAACCGTTGAGATGCATTTGACAGGGTTCCTACACACACACTCACACACATCGAGCTAAACTAAACCAATTTATCATGATCCTGCTTTAAACGATATTTGCGCACATTCAACGGTCTATTTATACTGGTTTCGTTTAGCTTGATGTGTTTTCAAGTAGTGTAGAAACCATTTGCAGAATATTATGATGTATTACAGGGTAACAAGGCTCGAGTAATTTCGCACGTCGTTCGTATACATCAAAAGCGTATCCATCATAATCCAAAACACATAATTATGAAGCGTGGGAGGCCTTTAATACTGAGTACGAGATGTTGTAGTTTGTCGTGGTGAACAATTTGAATTATATCGTAGGTACTTGAGTTTCAGGGCCATTGTTTCCCAGTTTCACGATTTTACCGCTTATCTGTTGTTATGAAAATTTTACTCTCGGACTAGATGTTATAGCTTAGAATACAGATAGCCGATAAGATAATAATATTATGTAGGATGTGGTTTCATAAATTCGACAGTAAAATTCCGGGTTTTATTTCATGCTACAAATGTTAGGACTAAAGCTATTAAACGTTTTGTTCGAAACAAAAGAAGTTTATTTATTTATTTTATTTATTTATTTAAGCTTTAATGTACACAGAAACAAGTAATGGTACATAAGGCGGACATTAATGCCATATGGCATTCTCTCCCAGTCAACCTTAGGGTTAAATTGAAAAACGGCGAAAAAATAGGCATAGAAGTTCTGATGGATTGACGGATATCTGGCGTTTATAGACTAGTTTGATTGCTTTATCTTGCTAAAAGCTACTACTACTCTTATTTTGGCTATAAAAACATAGGACTAGCGTGGTGGTAGGTTAGCGTGACTGGTCTTTTTTTAAGGGGGTACAATCATCAAATTATTTCTCCCGTTTGGGTGTGGCGGGAGGGAATGTCAGACTCTTTCTGACTAAAAACCACCCCGTTCCTACTCCTACATTTCGAGCCGGGGCCTCAGTAACCTTTTACGTTCTCCGCGGCTCCGTATAGGTATCAGCCTTATTGGGCCCCATCCGTGGTGGTCTGATGGCTCTTTGAGGCGCGCGCGGAACGTGAAGTGAGACACCGGTCTCGCTTCTGGACTGGTAAGTAGGAGATATGATTTTTTCCTTTAAAAGTTACTTTTTCTAAATATTCTACAATAACCAATCGTATCATTGTTATTACTCCGGTGAGAATAAAACACCTTGTTCGGTTTTCATTTATTTTCTTCAATTCTTACAACAGGTGATATAAATTGTGGTCGGTGAGTAATTTATCGACACGCATTGTTTGGTGTTCATCGCTGGCTCGTAATGACAACGTAGATTATAATGTAATTATGGTATAGTATAGCCGGTAATGAAACAGTGCTATGTATTTCAACCGCTGCTAATATTTTTTCTGTGTGTATTGAACGAAATTGATTATTAATACTTTGACTGCCAATAAAAAACTGTTGAAGGTAAATCCTCCGCTAACGCCGGTCACCGGTGACCCCCATGGCGTTTAATGTGTTAATAGTTTACGTAGGAAGGTGGTTGCTATGTGAAACTGATTCGATTCACGGTTTAGGCTGCAATAGTATGAAAGGTTTAGTTTATAAACACACACTTAGCAACAGAAAAGTGTTTAAGAAACAAATAAAATTAAAGGTAATAGTGGTAAAGTCCCAATCATCGAAGCACAATCAAGTAAGTACTTTAAAGTAACAACATTAGCGTACAATATCCTACAGCAAGATAAAGACTGGGACAGCTTAACTAGGTGTATAAGTTAAGTTAAACTCGTATTAAATACTTTATGTTGCGGACCTCCTTTAAGCCCTGGAGGTCGCAGTGGAAAGCCCACTGGGTCCAGGATAGCTCGCCAAGTATTTAAGTGCTTATTAAATTCTCGCTTTAGTATTATTATGACTTAGGCACACAGTTTTACGTAAAATATTCAAGTAGGAGTTGAATCTGGTGAAGAGTGTTGTGTTTTGATTATTTTTTGTAATCTGTGGAATATGCCTGTATATTCCACAGATCTATATATATTGATCGATGGAATAGGCCAGTAAATGAGCAGACAGATCACCTAATAGTAAGCAATCGGCGTCGTGAAACACCAGAGGCGTTACAAGTGCGTTACCGGCATTTTGGGAATTAAGAATTCGAGGATTGTGGGGGATTCGGGGATTGGGGAGACTGGGAAGTAAATGTATGTGTTAAATTAGCTGTTTGATATTGATTTACCTATATATTTGTTTGTAAAAATTATTTCAAAAAAATACAAAAAGTAGGTAGAACGGCTGGTTATGGACTTAGTAAAGGATACAACTAGCGTAGCAGCTTGCAAGTCAAAAATCTACAGAATGTATGTATGTACATAAAAGTGAACGGTGAATATTTCAAGTAAATGTATTACTTTACTCGTATGCTGAGCACCGCAGACACCAAATACTTAACGAGTTTACAAAAACTAAAAAGGTCGTAAACAAAAAGGTTATAAAAAAAATGAACAAAAGAAAATTTTACTTCTAGTAAAACTCTACATAGAACTGCAATAGACAAATAAATTACACCATTTATAACTCAACACACGACACACACTTGCCAACTACACATAACCACAGAACATTGTGAAAATTGATACAACACGCTATAAATTCAAGATGAACGGGGCTCTAACATAATTACGAGACGTTGTAGGCCTCGCGGGCCTCCGGGCCGCAGGTAGGGGCCTGATTACGTCGCGATTGTCTCCCATTAGGCGTAATGACGCCCTAAATATGTTATGCGAGTTGCAATACCTCTTATTAACGTGTTATTAAGAAGGTTTATACATTTAATGCTGAACGTTGTCTAAGATTTTAATTACAGTAAATTGGGTAATTGTTGAAAAGGACTAAAGGACTGCCTCGTTGCCGAGTGGTCGCAAGTGCGACTGCCGGGTAAGCGGTCTCGGGTTTGATTCCCGGATCGGGCAAAGTATTACTGGGTTTTTAAAGATCTCAGTAGTAGCACGGAATCTGGAAATGTGCCCGGTATATGGCAATAGGCTCACCCCCTATTACATGGGACTCATAACATAAATAGTGAAAAATGGGTGTTACATAGTACAGTGGCATTAAGTGCCGAAATGTGCACCTCTGCCTACCCCTTCGGGGATAAAAAGGCGTGATGTTATGTTATGTAGAAAAGGATTATAGCGGGAAGTGTTACTGTAATTAAATTTCGACTGACTGGACAGCTTTATTAGAGTGCGGTTTTATTTTTTTATGAGGTTCGTGGGCGGTGATATTAAATTTAATTCGGAAGTTCGTGACGTCTAGGCGCTTTATAGGTAAAAGTAGTCTCAAATTATTTTATGTCAGTTTCCGTGATTCATTTTGGTTCATCAATAATGTAGATGTAAATTGTTTTTATCGAAACGTTTTTATCCAGTGTCAGATTATATCAAAAAATATAATTGATTTAGGTACTATTCTTTAAGACAATTCATATTCCCATTAATTTACATAAACTTAAGAGCAAAACAAAAGGTATATCCGTGAATTACTACGCGTACAAATAGTGCACGACTTAAGACGTCATTAACTGCTGGCTAATTAGAGATCCTACCGCGGCAGCCAATGAGAGGCGCTCATTATGCTCTGTTCACAACGAGTGATGACGACATCGAATGAATGTGACGTCATGATTGATTGGCTAATGTTTTGCTGTTGCAATCTAGTTACGGAATGTTGTATAGCAGAAGGTAGTGATTTTTTTAAAGTACCCAATGCTGTGTTTGCGTTTGTGTTTAAATAAAATGTTTATCTTATGTTTATACGAAATCTGAAGTATTTAAAAGCAACTTTGTATTTAAGTTTTCCTCGTATTACGATATATATACACACTTACCACCTATAGAAATGACCTTTTGAACGACAGAAATATATTTCCCAATAACTGAAGAAGTACCTAAATAAACAGTGTGAACAAACTAAAAAAAAAAATCTAAACACTACGCCTACAATAGGATAAAACCTACAGTTGTCCTACACGAGAGTGCTATTTATGGGCACCGCAGGACAGTCCCGTGGGCTACCCGGCTTGCTGATTACAGCACAATTATACCCTGTTGGCCGGTAAATAAACACGTAATAGTCCGGATGAGCAATTTGACCGGTACCGTATTATTATACGTATTTAGATAGCAGTCCGTTTTGTTTGACGTTATTGAGAAAGGGTTCCGAATTGAGCTCTTACTTTTATTTCGTATTTATATGAGCTAAACAGGAAAGGTCCAATTGAAATGTTTTATTGTAGGGAATTAGACAGTGTATATTTGATAGGATAAAATGGAAATAAAGTAAAGCTGCGTCTACGCTAGGAGAGCCGAACACGAGCGGAGCACGAGCCGAACACAGTTCGTCTAGTGTGGACTGACTTACAAGCCTTGAACGAGCGCGCTTCGAGCATTTCGTTCGTATTCGGCTGCGTTTCGCCTGTTGTCGGTTTTTTGACGAACGATACACGTATCAGCTTTGCGCTCGCAAAAAAGAAAATAGAGGACAGTGATCATTATAGGT